ACTTGATATTGTCTGTTTTTTGTTGTTTGCCTGTTTTTGTTTTATTTTGTCTTAGCCACTTTAAATGGGTTGAGAGTATCCCAATTCTCATTCCAGATGAGTAATCGTATCTCAGTGTAGTTTAAATTTGCATTTCCCTAATAAGTAATAATGTCGAGCATCTTTTCACATGTCTCTTTGCCATCCATAGGTCTCCTTTGATGCGTTGTTTGTTCACATCTTTTGTCACCTTTAAAATTAGTTTAGTTTAGGGGCACCCGGGTGGCTCACTTGGTTAAACATCTGACTTCAGCTCAGGTCATGATCTCAAGGTTCGTGGGTTCCAGCCCCACATCGGACTCTGTGCTGACAGCTCAGAGCCTGGAGGCTGCTTCGGATTCTGTGTCTCCTTCTCTCTCTGCCCCTCCCTTGCATACTCTCTCTCTTTCTCAAAAATAAGCAAACATTAAAAAGAGAGAGAGGTGCCTGGATGGGTCAGTCGGTTAAGCATCGGACTTCCAGCTCAGGTCATAATCTCACAGTTTGTGAGTTCAAGCCCTGCGTCGGGCTCTGTGCTGACAGCTAGCTCAGAGCCTGGAGCCTGTTTCAGATTCTGTGTCTCCCTCTCTCTCTGCCCCTCCCCTGCTTATACTCTGTCTCTCTCACTATCAAAAATAAAAAACATTAAAAAAAATTTTTTTTAAGAGAAATTTTTTTTAATGTTTATTTTTGAGAGCAAGAGAGTCAGAGTGTGAGTGGGGAGGGGCAGAGAGAGAGAGGGAGACACAGAATCCAAAGCAGGCTCAGGGCCTGATGTGGGGCTCGAACCCATGAACTATAAGATCATGACCTGAGCCAAAGTTGGACGCTCAACTGACCGAACCACCCAGGTGCCCCTAAAGAGAGAAATTTTTTGTTTCTACATTTTAGAACAGAGGTCAGCACACTTCTTCTGTAAAGAGCCAGATGGTAAATATTTTCAGCTTTTTGGGCCATATGGTCTCTGTCACAGCTACTCAGCTATGTCACTGTAGTGCAAAAGCAGCCTCAGACAATACATAAACAAAAGAGAATAGCTGTGTGCCAATAAAACTTTATTTATAAAAACAGGTGGTGGGCCATATTTGGTCCACAAGCCATGGTTTGCCAACCACTGTTTTTAGAAAGTCATCTTTTTGGGGTGCCTTGGTGGCTTGGTTGGTTTAGCTTCGACTCTTAGCTTCGGCTTAGGTCATGATCTCATGGTTTGTGAGATTGAGCTGCACATGGTGGGGGGGGCTCTCTGCAGAGCCTGCTTGGGATTCTCTTTCCCCACTCTGACCGTCTTCTGTGTGTGTGTGTGCTCTCTCTCTCTCAAGTAAATAAATAAACTTAAAAAAAAAAAAGTCCTCTTTTTTACTAGGCATAGAGGACACTCCACTCTGAATAATAAGAATGGAGTAATTATTGGGGTGCCTGGGTGGCTTAGTCGGTTAAGCGTCCGACTTTCACTTAGGTCATGATCTCACGGTTCGTGGGTTCGAGCCCCGCGTCGGGCTCTGTGCTGACTGCCAGCTCAGAGCCTGGAGCCTGTTTCAGAGTCTGTGACTCCCTCTCTCTCTGACCCTCCCCTGCTCACGCTGTCTCTCTCTCTCTTTCCTGGAAATAAATAAAACATTAAAAAAAAATTAAAAAAAAGAATGGGGTAATTATTGCCCAGTTCATCACTGGTAAAAGGGGGAGGGAGAAGGCAGAAGGGTAAGGTGCCTAACTCAGAACAAAGGTGAGGGGAGGGAGAGAAAGAAAAAAGAAGAAAGAAGATAAATGTTTGAATCACCTTGTGAGCAGACTACCTTGTGCATTTTAATTTTTCAGGGTTAACCCTTGCACTTTGGTTCAGGCTTCAGCAAATGTGGTTGTTTGGTTTGTTTGTTTTTGAGCTAATGATCTATCTTAAAACCTCATGGGCACAGATGCTTTAACAGATTCATGGAGTTCTTCATGAATAAGTCCATTAATTCTGGTGGTCCCATGCCTTCTACTGAAAATTGGTATTTACGTAACCATCCTTGGTAATTCATACCAATTCGATGATATCTGGTGTTTTATTTTTACAAGCTACGGGGTCATATGTTCCTCACACATAACAGATCCCTACAGTTCTGAATCAGAGGCTCGCGTTTGTATTAAAATTTTTCCTAGTCACTACAGGTTATCTGCCAGAAAGATTGTACCATCTCACACTTGTATCAACAGTGTGTGAGGGTGTTTTTCCCCCTTATCGTTATTCACGTTGGGTTTTACCCATTCTGGGGGGGTCTTCTGTCTGGCTGCCAGAATGTGGTATTTCTTCTGACTTGGCATTTGCCTCGTTATTCATGAATCTGAGCTCTCCATGGCATCCTAGCCCTCTGAGCTGCCAGCATTTATTCGTTGTGGCTCATGTCCTTTGTTCACTCTCTGATAGTGATGTGTCGTTTTTCTTATGACTTTGTAGATGTTCTGAATCAAGTGGTCTTGGCCTTGGGAGTATTGACATTTGGGGCGGGACAGTTCTTGGTTGTGGGGCCGTCCTGGGCCTTCTGGGATGCTTAACATCATCACTGCCTCTACCTGCTGGGTGCTAGTGGCACACCACCTCACGCGGTCCAGACCTTGCCTGGTGTCCCCTGGGGGTGCCAGATCACCCAGGCTGAGAACCACTGACCTCAATAATGTAATAGGTAGCAAGTATTTTCTCCAAGTCCACTGCTTGTCTGTAGATGGTACCTTTTGCCATACAGAAGTTCTTAATCTTATGAAGCCTGACTTTCCAATCATTTCTTTTACGGCTTTTGATGTTAACCTATTTTATAGAGAACAAGGAGCATAGAACATTTTCAGATAAATAAAAGAAATGCTGGGAGAGTGGACTACGCACATTGTGTATGGTCGGAAGCAGATTAGGAAGTGGGAAGGTAGCAAAGAGCCAAATGTTTCCGGCAGGAAAAAATAATAATAAAATAAAAACCACACGACACCTCACTCCTCTCTCAGTGCTGACTCAGGGGGGAGGTGGGAGCCGTGTTCAGGTTTTTATATAACCGCTGGCAAGGCTATTTTTAAAGAAGGCTGAGTGCTCCTGACAGTGGGCACCGGGTTTTCCAGCAGAAAAGCAGGGCTGGGCAAGAGGGATCTGGAGAAAGGGGTGGGCTGCAGGACCCCTTTCTCGGAGATAGTGCTTCAGCCCTGTGGGGGTGAGTGCCTGCATATTTAGAGGCAGGGATGTGGGACACCTGAGATGAGGCAGCCGCAAGGTAGTGCTTGTGAATCGTGCTCCCAAAGTTGTGCTCCCAGAAGAGCCATGCTGGTGCTCTCAGCTGCTTTGATCTGGACTCCACTCTGATGCCATCTCTGTGTGCTGTGATGTTTCCCACTGAAAGTGAAGGCTTCTGCAGGCAGCTAAGGGCCTTCCAGAGCCCACAAGCTCTGAAGACCAGGCGCCTCTAACAGGTAGAGAAGTCCTACAGCTCCCGGCTCCTCCGTCGCTTTGGAGTCAAGGGAGGCAGAGAACCGTTGTCTGCCTGCCCGAGGCCAGACAGGCTGTCTGAGGCGGGGTGCTCCGGTGCACCTCATGGGCTCCTCGGCACCCAGCTGTACCAGGAGTACGCACAGAGATGAGAGAAGGCTCTAGAGACAACCCAGACACTGCACAGGAGCTTGAATTGCGGTGCTAGAATGGTTTGTGGCTGTTTCTTTGTATTGTTTTTAAGTAAGCTCTGCAGAGCTCATGGCCCTGAAATCAAGAGTCACACACTCCAGGGACGCCTGGGTGGCTCAGTCAGCTAAGCGTCGGGTTTTGACTCCGGTCATGCTCTCACGGTTCATGGGTTCCAGCCCCATGCGTGCGTCAGGGCTCTGTGCTGATGGCGCGGAGCCTGCTTGGGATTCTGTCTCCCCTTCTTGCTGCCCCTCCCCCACTCTCATTCTCAAAATAAATAAGTAAACTTTATTTTTTTAATGTTTTTTATTTATTTCTGAGAAAGAGACAGCATGAGCAGGGGAGGGTCAGAGAGAGAGGGAGATACAGAATCTGAAACAGGCTCCAGGCTCTGAGCTAGCTGTCAGCACAGAGCCCGATGTGGGGCTTGAACCCACAAACTGTGAGATCATGACCAGAGCCAAAGCCAGACACTTAACCGACTGAGCCACCCAGGCACTCCTCAAAATAAATAAATAAGTAAACTTAAAAAAAAAAATGCTCCACTGACTGAGCCAGCCAAGCCCCTCCCCACTCCTGTTTGTAGGCTTTTGGAAGCTCCTTAATAAGTAGAAATGATTGAGTTTGAAGTTGGTTTGTTTTAGAGCGGCTTTTGGGTTACAGAAAGGGTCCGTCTCCTCCAACCGAGTCTTCCCTGTCAGCGACACCTTGTGGTTGGTGTGGTCCTTTGTTAGGATTGAAGAATCTGCATGGACAGTTTGCCTTAGGGTTCCGCTCTGTGTTGTGCGTTCTGTGGGTTTGGACAGATGTGTCATAACATGCACACACCGTGAAAAGATCGCACAGAACAGTTTCACTGCCCTAAAAATCCCATGTGCTGTGCTTGTCCCTCCTTCCTTCCCTCCTAACCCCCAACAGCCACTGGTCTTCTTACTGGCTTTAGAGTCTCCTCTCTTCCGCAGTGCCCTACAGTTGGGGTCAGACGCCCAGACGCCGTGTAGCCTTTCCCACTTAGCGGTATACATTTGAGGCTGCCCCAAGTCGCTGGCCCCATAGCTCATTTCTTGCTGTCACCGACTAACCCTCTGTTGTGTGAATGCACCAGACAGTTGGAGTCTGTTTCTCCGCTTGCCTGCTGAGAGGCGTCTTGGCCACTTCCGGTTTCGGGGCAATTACCAATAAAACCTCTGTAAACATCTGCGTGCGTGATTTTGTGTGGACCCAAGTTGAACTTGTACTGCAAAGGAAAAACCCGAAGTGCCAGTCATTCGTTTTGCCTTAATACTCTGCGCCGCGGACATTTGGAATTTACCTGAGGTTTCTTTTTCTCCTCCCTCCTCAGATTTTTAAAAAATACAATGTCTAATGGTTATGAAGACCACATGGCCGAAGACTGCAGGGATGATATCGGGAGAACAAATTTAATTGTCAACTACCTCCCTCAGAACATGACCCAGGATGAGTTACGGAGTCTGTTCAGCAGCATTGGTGAAGTCGAATCTGCGAAGCTCATTCGGGATAAAGTGGCAGGTACAGGAACCAGGAGGGTTTGTGAGGGGTGCACGGGGCCGTCCCTTGGGGCACCGCAGCCTTGAGCCGATGGCCGTGTGTCAGGCTCTACTGTGAGAGAGGTTTGGATGTAGGTTCCCAGGAGTTCATTGTAAGACAGAGTGCGTGTGCATACACAGTGCGGAGGTGGGAGGGGAGGGAAATGAGGGCGCCCCAGAAATGAGGACCGCTCCATGAGCTGTAAGAGACCAGAGAACGACAGCCCGGCCTGGCTCGGTCGCGCCTGTGGAAGGGACTCTGGCCTAGGCAGGCCTGTTCCTGCCTTCCCGGGTCCCCATGCGCGGTCAGGCCTGTGGCAGAACACGGAGCATCCCCCTGGGCGGCCCTCTCTGGGCCTTGGGCTGTGCTGTTTGCTGTCACACAATCACGTCAGCTGGAACGTCTGAGACACCCTGAGCTTGACCTTGACCTCTCCTGGAGCCGGAGCAGGGCTTCGGGTCAGCAGGCAGGCTGCAGAGTTGGATGCCGGCTGCAAGCCCCGCTCTCCCGCTTCCTCCATGTGCGAGCCCCAGACGTAAAGTGGGGATGGTGGCTCCCCCATCCTGATGCTCACCTACCTCGTAAGGGTTTGCAGACACCCAGGGAAGCCATCCTTCTGGAGCTGCCTCCGCCCTAAGAGCGTGGTTTCAAGGAGAAAAACATGTAAAGACCAGGTGCTGCAAAGCACTTCCTTCCTTTTCTCCCCTTGGAGGAACATTGTTTTAGGGAGCTGCCCTCCCACCCCCCGCCTCCCCCCTTCCCCCTCTGCTCTGGTAAGCTGACCAATGGGCAATTCCCCCAAGGAAGGCTCTGGCTGCCACCCTGGGCTGTGGGACTGAGTCTCTCACTGAAAGCTAATTTAAAACTTAAAAAACAAAATCTTTATTAGGAAATAAGATAATATCTTGCTGTATTGAAACCTACATAAAAGTAACGTGGAACCCCACGTACCCATTGTCGTACCCCATTGCCTCTCAGCTTCTGCCAGTAACCTGAAGCTACCTGTCCCTGGGATGAGCCCTGGAGAGGCCAGGTGACCGATGCACAGGGAATTACAGAGGAGGAATGTTCCACACAGAAGGCATTGAATTCAGAAGTCTTTTAAGTACTCTCCCAATTCTGAGAGTCTGTGATTTTAATAAACATTTTCTAAATAGGAATTGTAGCTAATACACAAGTTGAACAGTGTTAGAATGTTCTAGAAGCCATTTTCTTTCTCCTGTTTCAGGAGGCCATCCTGAATAAGAGAGTCCTTGTTCAGAGGCATTTTAAAATTCTCCTATGCTACTAACAAGACTTGCCTTTCTCCTTTTATGTTCTGGTGGGAGGGAATTTTTAGCCCCATGGATATTCCTGAGCCTTGCATTCCAATTTTGCCAGCATTCTCGTGGTTCCCGACTTCTTTGTCTACTTGCTTGTTGTGGTTTTCAAAGGAATGTGAGCTATGTTAATAGGAACACCTAGATTTGGCGAGATCAGGCCAGAGAGAGCTGGTTCCGGGAAGGAGGTAAAAGCAGCAAAGAGTAACTTGGAAGTTATTTCAGTTCAGAGATAACTTTTTCTTCCCTTTGGACAAGATAAGTAAAGGGTACTGAGCGTTGTGGAGTGGGTGAGCCCGGGCTCGATTTCAGCTCGGCATCTTGCCAGCAGCCCCTTAAATTGGACAAGGGGACCTTCCTGAGAAGCCTCCTGCATTCCCCTCTCCATCCTCATCACGCTGCTCTGGTGAAACCCCACACCTGGGTATGTTCATCGGACGGCTGGAGAGAGTCCTGCCCTGGGTGCAGGGGAACCCAGGCCGGCGGGGGCCCCGGGGAATCAAGTCCCCAGCTGAGCTCAGCCCGCGACACAGGCCTCCCCAGCCCCCACGGCAACCACTTCGGGCCTGTTGGCACCCTTCGCTCTCGGCCCATGACCGCCTCTCACCTCGCAGTGAAAATAATAGCCATCTCCGTTTCTGTTTGATTCGGGGCCACCTGGCCAGTGTCCCGACCCACTCCAGCGTCTGTCCTCTTTGAGAGAATCCTCACTAAGATTCTCCGACTTCCTCTAGCCCAGGGTTTTCCCACTTGAGCACTCCCGACATTGGGGACTGGATTATTGGGGGGGGCGGGGGGCATCTTGTGCATTGTGGGACGTAGAGCAGCATTGCTCGCTCCCACCTGCTACATGCCAGGGGCATCTTCCAAGTCACGACAACTAAAACATGCCCCCAGACCTTACCAGGTGTCCCCCGAATCCTCCCCCTCCTCCCCGTGAGAACCACTAACTGCTGTCCTCCCTCCCCTCCCATTCACAGAGCCGTCAGCGGACTGTCTCCTCCTCTTCCTTCTGGAAGCTTCCTCTCCCCTTTGGCTTCCATGAACCACCTGCCCAAGACCTTGCTTTGCCTCCTGCAGCTCCTTCCCGGCCAGTTAGCCAGTCCTTCAGCTTACTCCCAAGCTGCTCCTCCCTAAGCCCATCCTGGGAGAGCAGATGCCCCTCCACAGCTTCACTTTGTCCTCCGTCTGTCACCTGCGTGTCAGTGAGACTGCTCTCTGAGTGTCACGCCCCTCAGCCCCTTTAATGCAGGGTCTTTCAGGCTGGCCTGGACTGTCCCACCAGCTGCTTTCTTGTTTCCCAGCGTCTGCGTCCCAACAGGTGACACCAGTGTTCTCTCAGGGACTCCAGCCAGAGATCTAAGCATGACCTCTGATGCCTGTCCCTGGCATTCGTCCTTCTGGATGCTTCCATCCCTTTTCCTCCAGCCCCCCACCCCCCGCCACAGATCTAGATAAGGCCACGTCGTCTTCTGCCTGCACTAGCATTCTGACCTCTTAACCAGCCACCTGTGTTCCCTCCAGATGGTTCTCTTCACTGCGGCAAAGGAATCTCTTTAACACTCCGCATGCAACCCTGTCACTCATCTGCTTTAAAACTCTTAGTCCCCGGCCCTGCTTGCTTTAGGGCACCTTCCCTGGCCCAGCCATGTCGGCAGTAGATGCTCCTCATCAGGGTTCCCATAGCAACCGGGCAGACGGCAGTGTGGGCTTCCACACTGTACTGAAGTTAGAACTTTCTGGTCCAGTAGGTCCATATGGTTCTCAGAGGCAGAGACCATATTATGTTCTTAGATATAGTCATAATCAGTGCTTGTTGAATGAATGAATGAGCGAATGGATCTGGGGATTGGAGAAGAATGCAGATCAGCATGGACATTCGTTTGCTCAGCAAATGTTTATTGAGTGCCGACCATTGGCCAGGCACTGGTGACAGGAGGAGTGAGGAATGGGTGGTGGCTGGGATGTTGGGAATATTTGGGAATGTCTGACGTGCTGGCTTCCAAGATCAGCATGTTTTGGGCTGGCCAGACCCAGCCCCCGTGTTGGGGACGTGCATTTAGCGCTGCCTGTTCTGTCCATAGCCTCTCGCTGGCCCCACTGTATAGCTCTGCCCTGCTCTGCCTGGTGTCTGGCCCCTCTGCAGATACCACATGGCCCAGGAGCCAGCCTCCACCCCCTCCTGGACTGTCCGTCCTGCTGGCTACTTGGTCCCCAGCCTCCAGCCTATTTGCTCAGCTTCTGACTCATGGCCACGCACCTCTGGTCAGGATAAAGCCCACACCCTCTGCCTCTGGCTCCCAGGTCTCTGGGGCCCTTTCCTCCTCCTCCTCCTCCTCCTCCTCCTCCTCCTCCTCCTCCTCCTCCTCCTCCTCCTCCTCCTCCTCCTCCTCTTCTCCCCAGCCGCTGTGCTCTCCACTCACCCTCCTCAGCCCTGACTGAGCTGCTTGGCATTCCCCAGACAGGCCCTTCTCTTCCAGTCTCGTGACTTTGCAAATGTTGTTCCCTCTGCAGGAGAGCCCTTCTACACCAAGCCAGCCTGACCGCTTCTTGTGTTCTTGGTGGGAATCACCTTTGTTCCTTATATAAACAACAACAACAACAGTGCAAGACAAAAAGGAAAAGTTTAAATTACCCCACGTCCCACCACGGTTAGCTTTGTGGTTTTTGTCCTTCCATACTTTCTTCTGCCCATATTTGTGGTCGTAAGCAACTACGTGCTTCTAGAACCACTGGGCTCACCCCACTCAAGCTGTGGTGGAAACTTTTCTTCCTGCACCTGCAAATGTTTTTCTGTCACTGAACATAAGCCATCTCGTCAGAACAGCTCCGTAGTGTTCTGTCATCTGGAGATTGAGTTCACCACAGGTTGTAACCGTATTTCCATATTTATAAACCCCACTGGGAGAAGTATCCTGGTGCAAACTTTCACTCACTGTGGTATCCACTGGAAGTCTTCCGAGAAGTGAGCCAGTAGACGGGAGAGTGTGTACCTTCCTGGACCCTGTCACCAGCTGAGACCCATTCTGCCCACCCCTGCTGTCCCCTGGGCTGGGGCGGGGTGCGGGGGGGTTCTCCTCTTGTCTAGCCTAAGTGAAAAGTAACATCTGATTGGGGTGGTCATTTGCTTTCTAATGGGGTTCTAGTGGCTGTTTGTACTCTTCTTTTGTAAAATACCCTTCTTGTCCTTTGCCCATTTTCTTTCTTGTGGGGCATTTGCTCCTCTTACTTCTTGTCTCATTAACTCACCCAAGACCTGGCCCTCCCCCTGTGAAGTCTTCCCTTGAGCCCCCACAGACATTTAAAGCAAGAGCTCTGGGGGCACCTGGGTGGCTCAGTCGGTTAAGTGTCCGAGTCTTGATTCAACTTAGGTCATGATCTCAACAGTTCGTGGGATTGAGCCCTGCGTTAGGCTCTGTGCTGACAGCGTGGAGCCTGCTTGGAATTCTCTCTCTTCCCCTTTCTCTCTGCCCCTCCCCCTCCCCTCCAAGATAAGCAAATAAACTTAAAAGAAAAACAGAGGAAAGTAATTTAAAAAGAATTTAAAAAAAAAAATGAAGGAAGAACTGGACTGTATGGGCCCCCTCATGTTACAGGGGAGGACTTGTCTGTGGGGCGCTCCCCTCCCTCAGCCACCCATTCTGGGTCAGTTTGAGAAACATC